CTTGCGGGCACTGCAGGATTTCAATCCTTGTCGGCGTAGTGTGTTACCAATTGTTTTCTTGGTGACTGTGGTCCCAGCTGCCTGGAGATCATTGACAAGATCCTCACATGTAGTTCTGGGATGATTCCTCACTGTTCTCATGATCATTGACACTCCACGAGATGAGATCTTGCATGGTGCACCAGACCTAGGGAGACTGACAGTTGTTTTGTGTTTCTTCTATTTGCGAATGATTGCACCAACTATTGTCACCTTCTAACCAAGCTGCTTGGCGATAGTTTGGTAGCCCAATCCAGCCTTGTGTAGGTCTACAATCTTGTCCCTGACATCCTTGGACAGCTCTTTGGTCTTTGCCATGGTGGAGAGTTTGGAATCTGATTGTTTGATTGCTCCTGTGTTCAGGTGTATTTATACAGGTAACAAAATGAGATTAGCAGCACTCCTTTTAAGAGACTGCTTCTAATCTCAGCTTGTTACCTGTATGAAAGACACCTAGTAGCCAGAAATCCTGCTGAATGATAGGGGATCAAATACTTATTTCCCTCATGAATATGCAAATCAGTGCATCATTTGTTAGACATGCATTTCTGTTGAATTTTTTGTTGCTATTCTGTCTCTGTGTTACAATACACCTCGATATTTAGACTGATCATTTCTTTGTGAGTGGGCAAACATTCAAAATCAGCAGGGGATCAAATACTTATTTCCTTCACTGTATTATATAGCTGTGACTTTTATAAGTAGCACGTCTATTGGTTAAAGCTAAACCCGGCACTCAAATTGGCCATTAAAACTGGTCACACACTAACATATCGTAAAATTGAAAACTGTCTAGATATGACCTTCTATTTTCCTTTAGAAATGTCAAAGAAGCAGTCATTAAGAAATCAAGCTGACAATCCATCCCTCGGTAGTTGCTATAGAAAAGTTGATATAGTGATCAGCATGAATAAACCATATACAGTCTAGTGATGACTAGCTGCCTCACCAATAGCTGTTTGTTTCTTTTATATCAAATGTTTAATAAAGCCGTATTAAACCGAAAAGCAAACATTTATTATATTGCAGCCTAGAAATTCTTAGACATGATGGCTGTATTAGTTTCCTTTTGTTAGGCTTTGTTTCTTCTGTTTTCACCAGGTGGTCTGGCTAGTATGTCTGTTGTTTTTCAGAAGCACAAGCTGTCCAGCAGAATGTATCAGTTTGCATGGATGAGACAAAACCATTTAACACTGCCAGGGGTGATTAAAATGATCAGCTTTTATTTACAGTATATAAGTAAAACCTTTATCACAAAAGGAAAAAAACCTGCTGTAACAGATAAGGTGTCAGCTGGAGTTTGGCTTCAATTTGTTATTGTATTTCAATCTGCTAATACATTTAACACCCCCCCCCCCCCTCCACAATGACAACGCTGCTGTCTGCTGTTCCCCGTGTGCTCCTTCATCCAGAGTGGGGGCACTCTAAGGAGGTTTGTTACTGACCAAGGTGAAAACAGGGAAAAAAGCCAAAGAAAAGAAAACGGATGCAGCCACCACATCTAACAATTGGTAAGCTGCAATATATTACATTTTTGGTCTTGGGTTTAACTATGTATAACTTTAATAACACATCCTTTGAAATTGAATTACTGTGTCTGATCTCCTATTGCACATGAAGCCCACTGCTAATTTTTTTTTTTATGTGGAAAATGAATGGTTTCATAGAAGCTGTAAAGGAAGGACTTTCTGTTGCATGCGCTGTGTGTTGGTATTATTATTTTTATTGTCACACTGGTTACAGGGCCCAGATTCAGCTACTGAACATTCAACTTATTATGTCTAGACTGGAGGTCCTGAGCTGTTAGAGAATTACCCAGACAGAGCCTTATTCCTTGCTTGGCCGGATGCAGATGGTAAGTTATCTTTTGAAACTGTCAATAGTTGTAATTCTAACAACATTATACATCTAAGCAGAAAAGGCAAAGTTCCGGACTTCCAAAAGTGCTTATTGTTGTACACAGAATACTGCAATAAATTGTTACAATTGCAGACAGTTGGCTGCAGTGGAGCAAACTACACACAGTATATCTGCAGCTGTAAGTATACAACAGGCAAAAGAGCCGGCATATCGAAAGGTTGAAATCCAGTCTTAGAAACAATGTTGGGGTAAAAATCCAGAAACAAATCAGATGACATGTTTCAATTGATGCAGTTGTTAGTCATAACCATGATTAGGGCCTGCATTGGCTGAAACGCATCAAATGTTTTGTTCCTGGATTTTTACCCCATCATTTTTGACTGCTGTATACTTCTGGCTTGCAGAAGCTTTGAGTGGAGTACAGATAAGATATTTAACCTCATTTGATAATGGATCACCGGGCGATAGCACTGTCAGTTTTTGTTATAGTCCTGAAATGTGCATTGTTTATTGTGGTGACATATTGTGATGTACAGTGCTCAGCATAAATGAGTACACCTCTTCTGAACAGTAAGATTTTAATCAATATCTCAATGAACACAAGAACAATTTCCAAAATTTTGACAAAAGTGAGTTTTTTATAAAACATTTGTTTAGCTCATTACATAAAAGTAATGTTAATAATATAACTTTGATTACAAAATCTTCAGTTTCACTCAAATTAGTTGATGCAAAAATGAATACACCCCACAGCAAAAACTACTTCATCTAGTACAGTGGTCAGCAAGCCGCGGCTCGCAAGCCACATGCGGCTCTTTACCCACTCTAATGCGGCTCTTCTGTGTGCCGGGCGCCCGCTCCCCTCCCTCCTCTCGGTCGGCCGCTCCCCTGCCTCCTCTCGGTTGGCAGCCCCAAAAGTCCGCGTGGACCTTTTAATCCGGCCCGCGGATGTGGCTGTCAGGATGTGTGTAGACGGGGCAGCGTGCCGAACGTGAGGGGAGGGGAGCTAGGCTCCTCTCACAGTCCGCCCTGAAGACCCGAACGGCGCGGGAAGACAGCGAGAGGAACGCAAAAGGTAAGTGAATTGACACGGGGGACTTGGCTTACTAGAAGGAGGGGGGGGGGGGGAATAGTACTGTGGGGGATGAAATACTATATGAGGGATGAAATACTATATGGGGGATGAAATACTATATGGGGGATGAAATACTATATGGGGGATGAAATACTATATGGGGGGATGAAATACTATATGGGGATGAATTACTATATGGGGGATGAATTACTATATGAGGGATGAAATACTATATGAGGGATGAAATACTTTATGAGGGATGAAATACTATATGAGGGATGAAATACTATATGAGGGGGATGAAATACTATATGAGGGATGAAATACTATATGAGGGATGAATTACTATATGAGGGATGAAATACTATATGAGGGATGAATTACTATATGGGGGATGAAATACTATATGAGGGATGAAATACTATATGGGGGATGAAATACTATATGAGGGATGAAATACTATATGGGGGGATGAAATACTATATGAGGGATGAAATACTATATGGGGGAAATGCTATATGAGGGATGAAATACTATATGAGGGATGAAATACTATATGAGGGATGAAATACTATATGAGGGATGAAATACTATATGAGGGATGAAATACTATATGGGGGGATGAAATACTATATGAGGGATGAATTACTATATGAGGGATGAATTACTATATGAGGGATGAAATACTATATGAGGGATGAAATACTATATGAGGGATGAAATATACTATATGGGGGGATGAAATACTATATGAGGGATGAAATACTATATGGGGGGATGAAATACTATATGAGGGATGAAATACTATATGAGGGATGAAATACTATATGAGGGATGAAATACTATATGGGGGATGAATTACTATATGAGGGATGAAATTACTATATGAGGGGATGAAATACTATATGAGGGATGAATTACTATATGAGGGATGAAATACTACTATATGAGGGATGAAATACTATATGGGGGGATGAAATACTATATGAGGGATGAATACTATATGGGGGGATGAAATACTATATGAGGGATGAAATACTATATGGGGGATGAAATACTATATGAGGGATGAAATACTATATGGGGGGATGAAATACTATATGAGGGATGAAATACTATATGGGGGGATGAAATACTATATGAGGGATGAAATACTATATGAGGGATGAAATTACTATATGAGGGATGAAATACTATATGGGGGGATGAAATACTATATGGGGATGAAATACTATATGAGGGGATGAAATACTATATGAGGGATGAAATACTATATGATGAGGGATGAAATACTATATGGGGGGATGAAATTACTATATGGGGGGATGAAATACTATATGGGGGATGAAATACTATATGAGGGATGAAATACTATATGAGGGATGAAATACTATATGGGGGATGAAATACTATATGGGGGATGAAATACTATACGGGGGATGAAATACTATATGAGGGATGAAATACTATATGGGGGATGAAATACTATATGGGGGATGAATTACTATATGGGGGATGAATTACTATGGGGGATGAATTACTATATGGGGGATGAATTACTATGGGGGATGAATTACTATATGGGGGATGAATTACTATATGGGGGATGAATTACTATATGGGGGGATGAATTACTATGGGGGATGAATTACTATGGGGGATGAATTACGATGGGGGATGAATTACTATATGGGGGATGAATTACTATATGGGGGATGAATTACACTATGGGGGATGAATTACTATGGGGGATGAATTACTATATGGGAGATGTATTTTCAGTTTTAAAAATGTGGCTCTCAAAATAAATTTCAATCATGGTTTTGGCGAGATTTGGCTCAGTTGAAAAAAAAGGTTGCCCACCACTGATCTAGTATTTTGTAAAACTTCCATGATTTGTAAGGGCAGCACTAAGTTTTCTTGGCATGGAATGAACAAGTTGGCGACATATTGCAACATCTATCTTTTTCCATTCTTCAAGAATGACCTCCTTTAGAGCCTGGATGCTGGATGGAGACTTGTCTCTTCAAAATTCCCCATAGGTGTTTGATTGGGTTCAGATCAGGAAACATACTTGGCCACTGAATCACTTTCACCCTGTTCTTTAGAAATGCAACAGTGGCCGTAGGTGTGTATTTTGGATCATTGTCATGTTGGAAAAGTGCACGACAACCGAGGGCACGGAGTGATGGCATTATTATTATTAAACAGTGTTTATAAAGCGCCAACAGTTCGCTCAGCGCTGTGCATTACAATTGGAGACAATACATGAAACTGTACAATAATAATACAATGCGATACACGAGGGGTTCGAGGGCCCTGCTCCTTGGAGCTTACAATCTAGGAGGGAGGGGATAGTGGTACAGGAGGAAAAGCTGTGGGGGATGGAGTGGTAGGAATAGTGGAGGACATCAGCAATTAGCAGGGGGCTGGGTAGGCTTCCCTGAAGAGATGGGTTTTCAGGGTGCGCCTAAGGAGAGGAGAGTAGGTGATAGTCTGGTGGATTGGGGTAGGGAGTTCCAGAGGATGGGTGACGCCCTGGAGAAGTCCTGGAGGCGGACATGGGAGGAGGAGACGAGGGAACTAGAGAGAAGGTAGCATCTTCTCTTCAATATAGAGCAGTACATCTGTGAATTCATGATACCATCAATGAAATGCAGCTCCCCAACACCAGCAGCACTCATGCAGCCCACTCACTGCCACCACCATGTTTCACAGTAGGCACCATGCATTTTTCTTTGTACTCCTCACCATTACAACGCTATACAGTTTTGAAGCCATCAGTTCATTTATCTTGGCCTCTTCACTCCAGAGTACAGAGTCTCAGTAGTCTTCTTCTATTTCAGCATTGGCCCCGGCAAATTCTATGTGGGCTTTTTTGTGCATGGGCTTTAGGAGAAGCTTCCTTCGTGGACAACACCCATGCATGCCATTCCTCTTCAGTGTACGCTGTATTGTGTCACGGGAAACAATCACCCCAGTTTGGGTTTCTACTTCTTTAGCTTACTGCAGTGAACTTGCATGGCGATTTTCTTGAAACCTTCTCATCAGAAGGCACTCCTGTCAGAGGTGTTAATTTCCGTAGACAGCCTGGACATCTCTGAGATGGTTGCAGTTCCATCTTTGTTAAATTTTTGTATCACTTTTGCTACAGTATTCTGACTGATAAGTAAAGCTTCGCTGATCTTCTTGTAGCCTTCACCTTTCTTGTGTAAAGCAATTATTTTCTGTCTTGTGACATTTCTCTTTTAGTGGTGCCATTGCTGACAGCATGAAATGGGAAGGGGTGTTCTATGTTAAGTAACGCCCTTTTATAATCAACTGTCTGCTGGATACTAGTTTAATTAATAATTAGATTCACTTGTAGTTGAATTCTTTTTAAATAGGATTTTGTTGTCTAAAATTTAGCTTTGCTCCTAAGACTTTCATTGGGGTGTATTCATTGTTTGCAGCATGGTATTGAATGAATTTGTTGGGAAAAATACTTTTTTGTTTGTGCAAATGAACAAATCTTGTTTGCAATCAATGGCCGGCATTTGTGGGAGTATTTTGTAGTATAGTGTCCCATAGAAAAGGTTGATTCTGAAAGGAAAGTAAAGGTTCTCTGACAAATCTGTTGGGGTGTACTCATTTATGCTGAGCACTGTACCTCTCTTCATTGTTTCAGAGGTATCCATTATTATTTTGAATATTTTTGCTTTATTTGTTATGATCAGGAACAAAAATAATCTTATTTTTTGCTCCTTAAGTCGCACCTGACCATAAGATGCACCTAGGTTTTAGAGGCGGAAAACAAGAAAAAAAAAATATTCTGAATCAATGGACTGCAGGTACAGTACAGGAAATGATCAGAGACTGCAGACATAGTACAGGAAATGACCAGAGACTGCAGACATACTACAGGAGATGACCAGAGACTGCAGACACAGTACAGGGAATGACCAGAGACTGCGGACATACTACAGAAGATGACCAGAGACTGTGAACATACTACAGGAGGTGCCCAGAGACTGTGGACACAGTACAGGAGATGAACAGAGATTGCGGACACAGTACAGGAGATGACCAGAGACTGCGGTCATAGTACAGGAGATGACCAGGGACTGCGGACACAGTACAGGAGATGACCAGAGACTGCGGTCATAGTACAGGAGGTGACCAGAGACTGCGGACACAGTACAGGAGATGACCAGAGACTGCGGACACAGTACAGGAGATGACCAGAGACTGCGGGCACAGTGACAGAGATGACCAGACAGGGGACTTGCGGACACAGTACAGGGGATGACCAGAGATTGCGGACACAGTACAGGGGATGACCAGAGATTGCGGACACAGTACAGGGGATGACCAGAGATTGCGGACACAGTACAGGGGATGACCAGAGATTGCGGACACAGTACAGGGGATGAACAGAGACTGCGGACACAGTACAGGAGATGACCAGAGACTGCGGTCATAGTACAGGAGATGACCAGGGACTGCGGACACAGTACAGGAGATGACCAGGGACTGCGGACACAGTACAGGAGATGACCAGGGACTGCGGACACAGTACAGGAGATGACCAGAGGACTGCGGACACAGTACAGGAGATGACAGAGACTGCGGACACAGTACAGGAGGATGACCAAAAGACTGCGGACAGTACAGGGGATGACCAAGAGACTGCGGACAGTACAGGGGATGACCAAGAGACTGCGGACAGTACAGGGGATGACCAAGAGACTGCGGACAGTGCAGGGGATGACCAAGAGACTGCGGACAGTGCAGGGGATGACCAGAGACTGCGGACAGTGCAGGGGATGACCAGAGACTGCGGACAGTGCAGGGGATGACCAGAGACTGCGGACAGTGCAGGGGATGACCAGAGACTGCGGACAGTGCAGGGGATGACCAGAGACTGCGGACAGTGCAGGGGATGACCATGACCAGAGACTGCGGACAGTACAGGGGATGACCAGAGACTGCGGACAGTACAGGGTGATGACCAGAGACTGCGCGACAGTACCAGGACTGCGGACAGTACAGATGACTAAGAGACTGCAGACCTTTGGGGAAGAGGCAGACGGGGAGTGGGGAGTGGGTACCTGAATTTGACAGTTGTTCTCCCTTTAGTGTGGGCACCCGGCTGATAGCCGGGTGCCCACTGCGCATGCGCAAGAAGCACTGCGCTTTGTGATTGGTCCGGCGTCTTCTGGGACCTGTCATGTGTTCCAGAAGACACCGTACCATTCACAAAGCGCAGCGCTTCTAGTGCATGCGCAGTGGGCACCCAGCTGTCACAGCCGAGATCTCACACTCAAGATACTGGTGCGGGAAGACTGTACAGCGCTGGACCGAGGAACAGGTAAGGTTCTACTGCAGAGAAGAGACGAGCGGCTGGCCTGGTATTCTGACACGGCGGCGGTGGGAATACCGGACCGGCTGCTGCATATTCGCTCCATAAGATGCAGTGACATTTTCCCCCCTTTTTTGGGGGGAAAAAAGAAAAGTGCGTCTTATGGAGCGAAAAATACGGTACATATTTACCACCTGCAACCAACAGTGAGGAACCATAAAGCGAATACTCCACAGTTTGTTAGTTCTCTCCTGTGAGCACTTTGATTAGTCTGTGAATAGCATGATAAGCAGTATATCAGACTACCCATGCAATGCTGAATAAGGGGACCATACCTCTCCTACTAGCAGACATAAGAGCTGTCCAGATTTTAATCTGCAAAACAAGTCAAGTACACAAAATTTTGACCGCTCTCCTCTCTTCCTGGTCTTATAAGGGACACTGAGAGCATTGGGGGAGCATATGCTCTTGCTGCTGTCAGTCAAACTCCTGTGAGGAAGGGATAGGGGCGTGGCTTACTGGTGGTGTATGTGTCTTTGAACACACACAGCCCAGCTGGGGAGCGCATGCACATAGGTGCCCCCTTAGACTTGCTAAGGAGGCACCCAGAGAAAGAAGGAGCAGACCGCTAGCGGGGGACTGAAAAAAAAGGGAGGTAAGACACTACTCTATGCAATATCATTGCCCAGAACAGGTAAGTATAACCTCTTTATTTTATTTTAATTTAAAAAAAAAATTAGCTTTATTATCTAAGATTCAGATGATATAATACACAGCTCTGTCATCAAGACTACAGTAATATATGTACATTTTCTTAAATACAAGCAGTGTAAGTACCTGTATTTAACTTTGTATATGCTTCTTGCAGTCCCTGTACAGCAGAGCTCAGACTTAGGAGTGGAAGAGGTAGAGATAGCTCTCTTATTCTGTATGTATTTCATCTATTGCTTGGAATTGAGCTTTAAATAACTATGACCAGAAACTGGTATGGTTTCCCTGTTAAATTTGGGCAGAGTGGGTGAGGAATGTCATATGTATGAGTAGCAGCAGACAGCCTTGGCTGGTCATTTTCAGAGGGAAAATGGTTGAGCAGCCAGTTGGAGACTGCTTACTCCTCTGTTATTGTTTTGAGAGTAGACCAGTGCTACACTGCACCATTTTCTCCTTTGCATGGACATGCATTCTTCAGCAACAGAAGCATGTATGGTAATGTGACAATCATTTACGAAAAAATAGTTATACTTGAACTGTATCCCCTCCCTCTAGTACACCCCAGAGTCTTATACCTGCCATTTGGCGCTTCACAGTCGCTGCTGCAAAATCTTCCAGCTGAGCAGCTTATTCTTCTGTGTGCACAAAATCTCCATTCCTATGGGAAGACTGTCTGTGATGCTTCCCAAATGTGGATAGCTTTTTCTATAAGACTGAATTGGTATTTTTCCACACAGACACAGAAAATGTAGTTTTTCAGTTTGGAGATTTGCAGTAATGGCTGTAACAGAAGTGAGGACAGATCAGTACAAGACTTGGGGTGTTCGAGGAGGGGTGTATTGGGGGGGGGGAAAGCAGTTGAAGGGATCATTACAGTTATCTTTTAAGATGCTCACAGATTAGGGTTGCACCGATACCATTTAATCGGCTAGTATGTGTACTGATACTTGTGCTCAAGTACTCGCCGATACTCATTACTGATACCTTTCCGGTGCATTTTGAGCCCATACAAAATGAATGGCCTCAAATTGTATTGCAAACAATCTCATGTGATTTGAACTGGAATCAGCTGAAGTAGTGGTGCTATTCCAGTCTAAATCACATGCAGTTTCACTATGGGTGCATTGCGATTTGCAGTGCAATTTCAGCCATACCAAATGAATATCAGTATCAGTGCAACCCTACTACAGTTGTAAAAGAATGCTGTTATGGTTGGATTGAAAAAATGTTTACAGTTTTCTCCAGATCCCTCATGATTAAAGCTGGCCATAGGCCATAAATGGACTAAACAGATTCCTCCCTCCACACATTCGAGATGAGCGAAGGAATCCCTCCTGCTTTGCTATTGTATTCTGACAGTGGGTACTTAGCTGTCAGAATACACAGGTCAGCGCTGCAGCTGATTGGATGCATAGCTGATCGAATGATCGAATAAATTGTTTGGAATTTATTGTATCCCTGAGACTTGTGTCTGCAAAGCTTACAACTCTCCTCGTCAATGAAAAACATGTATGATAATATCATACAAGAATGATCACTTGGGGGCCTGATAAAACATGCATAGCAAACTCCAAACAACAAACACATACAACTGCATAAAAAACATATTGAACAAATTCAGAACCATTGAAAGCCAAAGCCTACCCTGCATGAATTTACAATCTACAGCAAACGGGTGAGAATAAAATTTGGTCACATGAATAGTGTACCATTTATGATAACTTTATCATACATACAGCTGGACTTAGTTTGGATAGACTATAAATATGGGATATCGATGCTTACATTTAAAGACCTCCTGTAGGAACATGTTACACCCATATTTAGGGTGTAACATGTAATATGTTCCTAAGCAAACCCCTGAGCCCCCATCCATCATGACATCATGCTGGGGATCCTCTCCCACACAGCTGGTTGCATATTTAAATTTGGCGCAGCTATGTGGGCATCATTCATTCACGGAGATCTTTGAATAAATAAACTACAAGTCCCGTCTGTCACCATGGCAAATGGAACCTGTAGTTCTCAGTGGACTACGAGTGCGGTAATCAGTACATTCATAGACCATTGACACTTCCTCCAGCTTTCCAACATAAAGCCTGTATAGAGTTACAGGCAGACAATTGTCTGCAGAAGCCTGACATTTAAAAAGTGAAAACTTGTGAGTTGCTATGTGAGTGATGAATACTTCTAAGTGCTGATTGTGAATCGCCTGCACATAACACATACTCATACTAGTGTGTCAAACCAATACTGTGGCACAGTGGCTTAGTGGTTAGCACATCTGCCTTGCAGTAAATGGGTCATGGGTTCGATTCCCGACCATGGCGCCTCCTGCATGGAGTTTGCATGTTCTCCCTGTGCTTGCGTGGGTTTCCTCCAGGTGCTTCGGTTTCCTTCCACACTCCAAAGACATGCTGATAGGTTAATTGGCTCCTGTCCAAAATTAGCTCCAGTATATGTATGTATGAATGTGAGTTAGGGACCTTAGATTGTACACCCCTTGAGGGTTAGGGACTGATGGGAATGTTCAATATATGTGTAAAGCGCTGCGTAAATTGACAGCGCTATATAAGTACCTGAAATAAATAAATATCAAAATTGTGCCGCGCTTCACTTAAAATGACTAAGTATAAATAATAAGTACATCCAAGCGCTTCTATTAATAATACGTGTCAAAATAATATATAGATACAATTTGAAAGAATCATCCAGTATCAATTTCCAAAAGCAATGTCCATATACATGTCAAAAAAAGTCCATATATATACTTCTTCAAATGTGCATAGTTCACGTAGAATAAAATAAATATCCTGTGCTTCTTAAATGATTTTTTGCGTGAAAAAAACTTGCATTAGTGTGCTCTCACCTCAAGTATATGACCAAGTTGTCATAGGGGAGGGGCTTTGATGTCACAACGCTCGATGGTTCCATACTGACACCAGCTGGCAATTTTAGGATTTTCACCACTGGAAAAAATGTGAAGGATATATTTTGTGCACAAAACGGTTATATACATATTATATGTGAGTGCATTACTTTTATTAATAAAACGGTTTTAAAAGGATAAAACACTATGATTTGATTATTCCTCTATATTAACCACCGTGGAAGGAGAGCCTATCGATTGAGTGAAGGAGGACCCCCAAACAGCAAGATACCATCCCATCCATACTTTGGCCCATTTAAGGGACGCAACGCTATATGACCTCACTTAACGGTTTTAGTCATATACTTGAGGTGAGAGCACAACCGGTGGGGGAGCACACTAATGCAAGTTTTTTTTTCACACAAAAAAATTAATTAAGAAGCTCGGGATATTTATTTTATTCTAAGTGAACTATGCACGTTTGAAGAAGTATGTGTGTGTATAAATATATATATATATATATATATATATATATATATATGGACCTTTTTTTTATTTTTTTTACATGTATATGGACATTGCTTTTGGAAATTTATATTGGTTGATGCATTCATCCTAATTTTATCCATATATTATTATGACACGTATTATTAATAGAAGCACTTGGATGTACTTATTATTTAGTCATTTTAAGTGAAGCGCGGCACAATTTTGATATTTAGGAGCCTGACATTGCTTCCGTTTTTTTCCTGCAAAAACATTTATTTATTTTTTTTTTTTGGTGAAAAAAACCTTTAAAGA